GCCTCCCCTCCTGCCAACGCCCCCGCGGGGTGTCTCCAACCCCGGCCAGCCCTTTCCTCCCCGTGCTCCAGGGAACCGCTCCGTCTTACGGTGTTGATTAAACTTCCTTCCCCATCAGTTGGAAATAGGGAACTTTCCCCTTCCTAGGTCTGACAGGGAGAGCAGTACCTCCCCCGCACCGCTCCAAAATCTCACCCTCAAAGCAGGAGAGCGACCCTCAGACAAAAATGCACCGCCGTAACAGAGCTGAGTGGGACTTGAAATTTGCAGCCTTATTTTGCGAATGGAAGTGTCACATTACAAGGGCTTCAGGTAAATAAAGGTGGGATAAGGCACCGACGCTGCCGAAATCTTCTTAGCTGTTTAGATCTGTGTGGAATGTGTATCCAGAAAAGGTTTCCACTTGGAGGCTTAAGAAATGTGAGTCATCCCCTCCCCCACTCGCTCTCATCCTTCTCGAATCGGTTAAGGGAAGAAAAAAAAAAGGGGAAAGAAAAAGGAAAAAAGTCTGCTTTGCTTTTCTATCAGCCCTGCATCTTTTTGGTGCGAACTTTGCTACTCTTCACCTTAGTAAAAATAGAGCAAATAAATACAAAGTGCAGGTCACCTGTAACTGCGATTTCGGAAAGGAAAAAAAGAAGGGAGACAAGAAAAAAAAAAAAACAACAAAACAACAACAAACGTAAATTGAAAGAAAAAGAAAATAGGAAGGAAAAAACAGCCAAGGACGGGAAAAAGTTAAAAGACTGGTATGAAAGCTTTGTTCGTCATCTGCAAAGTTCCTTGAGCAAGGATGAGCAGGGTCCTGCGAACGCCATTAATTATGCACAATTCTGATCAGAAAATGCCAATCCTCACGCGATTCCTGCTCCTGCACAGGACATTGCCCATTTTTTTCCCTTCTGACGGTTTATTAAGTCACTTTAGTAGGCAACCTTTCAAAGCCCTTTTTAATTTTTTCCCCCTTGTGCGAGTAAGCTGGGACCAGAGCAGCTACACTAAGCTACTTAGCTTGAAAATCAGTTTAGTGAAGGTCTGGGAGATTCTGGGTTTATTTCCTCCCATACAAGACCTATAGCAGGAGCTTAATAACAAAAGTGCGAAAAGAACGAAACTGTACGGAAAATTACAAACATCAGCAGCAGCTGCCCGAAGCGCTAGGAAAATCTTTCCCTAAACCCTACACCTAAACAGTCCAAAAGGTCGGTGTGATCAACACCTCCTACTCATAAGTTAGCTTCAAATTGTTAATAGGTGGAACAAAATACGGGTTTTTAAAAAAAGTTTTAATCATAATTCGAAAACAACCCTCTTCCTTTTACTTTTTTTGCCCATTTTTTCCCCTGAGAACTGTATTGTAGTTGCTTGAACGCCTCCTTAACTTTCTGCAAGACCTAACAAAAAGGAGTGTGGTGCCAACTAATTAGCCGAACAGCGTTTTAAAAGACGATAAACAGTCACGTAGCAAAAAAAAAAAAGGATTTGGGCTGAGAGTGAAAAGCAGTCACCTTCCCGTCGGAGAGCGGATGCACATCAGAAATCAGGCGGGAGAGAAATACCTAACAGCGCTGGGCATAATGTGATTATACTTAAGGTAATCGCTTAAAATAAATTGTATACTGTTTAAAGTAAATCGACCTAAATGGCCACGCTCATCTAATTCAAAGATCATTGGGCAGATAAACTTCTTAAGGAGCCTTTCTTGAGAAGGAGTTTGCTAAGACAGTGTGATCCTTCCAGTTTCTTAAGGCGATGCATCCAGTGCCAAGAGATTTTCTCTTTATTATTAACAAATCAGTTTAGATAGGGGTCCGATAAGAAATGCAAATCCAGACATAGGGGTCGCTGCTTGGCCGAATTTTAACTGAAGGCTGGTTCTGCGGGAATTGACTACAGGGTACGTTTGCGAAGAGGCTGTGTGAAGCTTTTACACTGACTCTACTGAAAAATGAAGTCAGTGATTTTGATCTGCTCCAGATGTCCTAAGAGTGGATATTGCAGTGCTGGGAATCCGCACCAAATATCTGAGGGCAGTGATGGTAATCAGCGCAACCCATCAGCCAGGGGGGACTGGCAATTGTGATAACCTGCTGCAAATGCACAGGGCTGGAGATGG